TACACTTTTGTTAATTTTGAAATACTGGATACATAATAGGCACTCAGTAAAACTTGATACTTGAGCAATTATTCTGAACAACCCTCTGCAATATAAGTTGATACTGGAGCTTGGCTCAAAGAAATTGAACAGCAGGCAGCATTCTCAGGACCAAAGGTAAAAAAGTTGGCCACAAAAATTGCTGCTAAAAGAGCTAACAGAATTTAGGCCCATTAGTGTTAAGATTATAGAAAAATTATAGTACCAATCCGTGCTCCTAAAAATGTAGTTAGAATACTGTGTCACATTTTAAGAGAAACATTTACAGGCTATCATGTGACTAAAGGAAATGAGGGATCAAGAAAGTTGATTATACATGAGATTGTAGCTAGAAAAGAAAAGATCAAATTAGAAACTTTTGCAGATAGTGGAAGAACTGTCTGGCATATAGTAGGCACTTAATAAATGTGAATTGATTGACAATTGTTGCTGCAAAAGTCCAGTGGACAAAAAATTACAGGGAATCAGATTTTGGCTTACTATTAGAACCTTCTAAAAGACAGAACAGTATAGTAATGGAAGTGGTTGCTTCGTGAACTAATGAATTCTCTATTCTTAGAAGTATTAAAGTAGAAAAGGAATGGCTATTTATATGGGGGATGATATAGAAAGAATTTTTCTTTGTCCATGAGAAGCTTCCTTCTATAGAATTATGCAGTTCCATACAAGAAAATTTTTCTTTGCAGTTTCCATACAAGACCTGACTTTTCTAGAGACTGAGGTTGTTAAGAAAGCTAAACTTGAGCCTGAAGGATAAAAGACGGACTAGTGTTATAGTGAAACTTACAGTGAAAACAAGGAAACCTGGAAGACTGTTTATATTTAAATTACTGTTAAGCTAGTTGAATAACTTAACCTGGAGATTTATTCATACTATCATTATAATTTAGCTATACCACTTTGATTATATACTTTTATTTGACATAGTCTTACTGCTGGTTCCCAAATTCAGTGACTTCAGTATTGTGTCAAAGTTTTTCTCTCTATCCTAGTATCTGCCTGCCAGCCGTCATCCTCAGTCTTCATAATTTTAATCCCTTGAACATACTGTCCACATAATTCCTCAGCCTTTTCTCTTCTAACTTCTTCCCTTTACCACTTCAACTACACAGCAACATGGTACCTTTTATTGTATATTGTAGACCAGGCCTACAGGACAGCTAGGTGGTGCAGTGGATAGAGTGTTGAGCCTGGAGTCAGGAAGACTCATCTTCCTGAGTTCAAATCTGGTCTCAGACACTTATTAGCTCTGTGACCCTGGACAAGTCACTCCACCCTGTTTGCCTTAGTTTCTTAAATGGCAAATCACTTCAGTATCTTTGACCACAAAATCCCAAATGGGGTCACTAAGAGTCAGACGTGACTGAACAACAGCAAGTCCAGGCCTGTCTCAAGTTGATCTAGTGGTTCTGGTTCAGAATTGTACTGAAATAAATTACTCATAGTCCATCTTAACACTTAACAAAAGGAACTTTACTTAGCTATAACACGGAAAGGTATTTCAGCAAAGATACAGTATTGATTCAGTTGGGTGCAGTTTCTCTGCCCTTGTATGTGTCATTGTGGTATGCAGGGATCAAGGGAGTTGCTTCTGACTTCTCAAGTACTGCCTTTTGTACTTAGGCTACTAGGAAACTATACCAGTGGCATAGTCTCTGCTAGGCCAATTAAGTCTTAAGGATAGTTTCCTTACGTACCTTTGAAGAAAAAACTTACCTAGCCAGGGTGGAATAGACCCTTCACAAAATAAAGTGCAGCTTCTGTGGCAGGGGCCTTAGTAGGTATTGCTTCAACCAGTTGCACTTATTTTATGAAATTTACTGACATTATTTCCAGGATCTTTGAATTTTGAAATTCTCTGACCACAAACTTCTCTTCTTTCACAGTCTCCTGCCCTTCTCCTCCCTCCCTTTTCTCTCTTATAAATGTTCCTTTGCCACATTCTGATAACCATTTCTGTTATTCCTCTCAATTTATATTAGTAGACAGAATTTTCTCACCTAGGAGTTCCTTATACCAATAATCTCTGTCCTTTTTGTGCCCTACTCTGGCTTCACTCCCTTCTGTTCATAAGCCTGATCTTCTTGTTTGTCACTTTTAATAATTAAGTGGCTTCCACTCAAGAATGTGTCACACAGGAACTTTCACATCCCTGACTCTCTAATTTTTCACTGGATAATCACCCACTAGTAACTGATTACTCTAGTACTGTGTCTAGGCTGCTGAGCATCAACAAAATTAGTAATATAAATGGAGCTGATTCCACCTACTATTTATTTAGTTGTAAACCTCAACTAATTGCTGCTCAGCAGTTTTCTTATATACCCCTATTGAATTCCCATGTTGAGGAACTGTTGTGAAAAGATCTATATAGATATTCTTTCCTTAGTCCATCAATGATACTCTTACTTTTCACTCCTTCTTACAGGTATCTTGGAATACCCTAGTTAGTTCTAAAATGCTATTCTACTTTCGGACAGATGTGTAATTATTAGGAATTCTTCCCTTATATCTAGCCAAAAACTGTAGCTCTTAGATCTGTCCTTTCAAGCCAAGGGCGCATTCTTCGTGAGTTGCATGTCTTAGGACAAAGTTTTGTATGCCCTGCCAACATCATACAGTAAGTACTATTTTTAATAACATTGGTGTTAGTAATCTAGTAATTTCATTAATGTGAATTCTCCCAAAGATATAGATCACAGCATTTTAATAGTTTTTTTTAATATTTTTGTAACTATTTCAATATGATTGATTTCCTTTGGGATCCTACATGTTTATTTTATGCATTTAAAAAATATTATCCTGATAAGGCATACATAGGCTTTATCATACTACAAAAGGAGGTCCATGACAGAAAAACAGGTTAATCCTAGAGAATACTTTTCCTCTAGATCACTGATCATTTTGTGGCAGTATGGCAAAAATTAGGTCTAGACCATCTGCCCATACCCTATACCACAGTAAACATCAAAATGGATATAAGACCAAAATATTAAGAATCATGCTATAAAAATGAGAGAATTCAAATTAGGTACCTTTCACAGTTATGGCTAGGGAGTGAATTCTTAGCCAAATAAGAGAGGACAGTTACCAAAACTAAAATAATTTTCACTACATTGAACTAAAAATTTTTTGCATGAAGAAAATTAGTGCAACTTTGGCAAGAAGGGATATGATCAACTGGGGGAGATCTATCTAATGTTTCTGGAGAGTCTGATATTCAAGGCATGTAAGCATTTAATCTGTATAGAACCAAAAACCATTTCCTAACTGATAAATGGTCAGAGGATATGAACAGTTCTCAAAAGAAAAATTGCAAATCATTGGCAACCATATGAAAAAAATGCTCCAAAGCACTAATAAGAAGAGGAATATGAACCAAAACAACTTCTAAGGTTTCATCTCATTCTCAGCAAACTGGCAGTGAGAAGAGAAGGGAATAATCAGTGTTGGAAAGGTTATAGAAGGGTGGGTGCATTAATGCATTGTTAGTGGAACTGAATTAGTTCTGCCATTCTGGAAAAGTTTGGAATTATGGGAAGAAAGCGTCAAAAATGCTAACATGCATATACTTTAAGAAGGTCAGTGACAAAAAGAGAGACCTCATATATACCAAAGTACCTGTTCCAGCACTTTTTGTAGTAGCAAGGTACCAGAAGCAAAGTAGATGACCATTGATGGTGGGGAATGGCTAAACAAGTTGTGATATGTGAATGACACATACAGTAATATTGTAAGAAACAGTGAAATTGGGAAAACTTATATGAACTGAAACAAAGTAAAGTAAATGGAATTAGAAAAATGATGACTATAAACAATTTAAGTGGAGAGAACAACAAAAGAATTCAAACAATACTGAGAAGTTATAATGGCCAGTCTTCTCTAAGAAAAGAAGATAAACTCCCATGCTTTTCCTCTCTTTTTATTCTTTATCATAAGAGACAACCATCCAGGAGAAGAAAATGAAGGAAGTATACATTGGGCAATGTAGGAGATGTAAAAACAAAAGATTTTAAATAATTATTTTGTATTCGTCAGTGGAGCCCTTAGTATCTTTCTTCTCAGTAAACGATTGGTCTATTTTCTGAATAATGTCGTATACACGATCCCTTCAATGAAAGTATACATTGGTAATAAATTGTAGCCTTTATTTCTGACCAGCATTGATCTCTCTCTTGCCCTTGGAGTCACCACAATTTTGATTTAGAGATTGTATTTAAATTCAACACCATCAGCTTGGCTGAAAAAAATGTGTTGTAGGTTTAGTTTCTGGTGCCAAAAAAAAATTACGTAGCAGCAAACAAACAACTTGTTCATACTGGTGGTCTTTTTTTTTTTTAACTTCAGAAAATAAAATTTTATTACAGCAACTCTGTGTACTCATTTGAGTTAATACAGTGATTTATGTAAATCATTAAAAAAATAAACCTTATGCTGAATTGGGAAAATGTAATGTAGAAGCACAAGAATTTGAAATCTTTTTTTTTTTTAAGACTTTTGGTTCTTTGGATTTTTAGGAAATAAAACTTTTTAGTTAACTTAATTGGCATGTGAAATTTCTTATCTAAAGTAGATTAAGTTAGCTACTACCTATCTGTATTATCACATACTGCTTGCCAAGTATCATTTATTTTGCTAACCCTGTTTCCTGAGGATAGCCACTCAATAAGAATGTTCTTAACAAGAGTATTCTTCACCTTCTATGTAGCTGATTAAAAACTTATAGCTTATGGAGCCATTTTTCATGCCTCAGAAATTCCCAGAAGTTTCTTTCCTATCTGAATTGGTTCAGAAATAAAAAATGCCCAGTCCTATCTAGTCAGAATATCTTGATAATGCTCATGTCATCTTTGTTAGTAGCATAGACATCACATGAAAATGATCCAAATCACTTTGAATTTCACTTTTATAAATAACACAGTTTAAACTAGCAATTAATATTTTATTTGTATATCTTTTAGGACATTTCTGATTCATTTGCATCACTGAAGAGCATCTCTAGAAGAGGAAGGAAAAGATGGGTGTGAAAACATTTACTCATAGTTCCCCTTCCCACAGCCAGGAGATGCTTGGAAAGCTAAATATGCTTCGAAATGATGGACATTTCTGTGATATCACTATTCGTGTCCAGGACAAAATCTTTCGAGCACACAAGGTGGTACTGGCAGCTTGCAGTGATTTCTTTCGCACCAAACTTGTTGGCCAAGCAGAGGATGACAGCAAGAATGTATTGGATTTGCATCATGTGACAGTCACTGGATTTATACCCCTTTTGGAGTATGCTTATACAGCAACTCTGTCAATTAACACAGAAAATATTATTGATGTCTTGGCTGCAGCCAGCTATATGCAAATGTTTAGTGTTGCCAGCACCTGCTCAGAGTTCATGAAATCAAGCATTTTATGGAATACACCCAACAACCAACAAGAAAAGGGACTAGATGCTGGGCAAGAAAACAATTCTAACTGCAATTTTACCTCTCGAGATGGTAGTCTTTCTCCAGTGTCTTCAGAATGCAGTGTGGTAGAAAGGACCATTCCTGTCTGCCGAGAGTCCCGGAGAAAGCGTAAAAGCTACATAGTTATGTCTCCTGAAAGTCCACTTAAGTGTAGCACACAGACAAGTTCTCCCCAAGTGCTAAATTCTTCAGCTTCCTATTCAGAGCCTAGAAACCAACCAGTTGACTCTTCCTTAGCTTTTCCTTGGACTTTTCCATTTGGAATTGATCGAAGGCTTCAGTCAGAGAAGGTTAAACAGGTAGAAAATCCCAGGACTTTAGAACTACCGGGCCCATCTGAGGCAGCTAGAAGAATGACTGATTATGTGACATGTGAGAGTACAAAGGCTAATTTGCCTCTGGTTACTGAAGAGGATGTACGGGTCAAAGTGGAAAGGTTAAGTGATGAGGAAGTTCATGAGGAAGTGTCCCAGCCTGTCAGTGCATCTCAGAGTTCCCTGAGTGATCAGCAAACAGTGCCAGGAAGTGAGCAAGTTCAGGAGGATCTTCTAATTAGTCCCCAGTCTTCTTCTATAGGTATAATGTCTTTTGTATTTTTACATGTTGTAATACTATAGCTGTTGATAATGGCCGTTACTGTCATGCATTATTGGGAATATGTGGGATTTTTTCTTTTGTTGTTGACCAGTTCGCTACCAGTTGTATTTGTTACTAATTTGTTATTTTAAAAGAAAGTGCAAATGAGTGGATTTTTATGGAACAGTAGCAGAGAGTAGAAAGGAAGTAACAGTAAGGTTTCAAGCATGACTGAATACCATAATCATAGAGTGAAAAAAAATTCAGTAAGTCTTTAAGTGGGACATTTCTTCAAAAAAAAAATCCTTATGGATCATAGATTTAGACTTATGCAGTACTTTTGTGCTTATTTTGACTAGTTACTTCATTTTTCATATGAGGAAGTGTTAAGTAAATTTGCCCAAGGTCACCCAATTAGTAAATTACATAAATGAAGAATTTTAACACAGATCTTCTGTGTACCAGCATTCTGTTCACATTACCTTTGTCACTGGTATTTCAGATCGGTAATTGTTGAGTGACTATGTGCCAAGTACTTATCTAGAAGTTGTAGAGAATACAAAGTAATATAAGAAATAGTTCCTGCACTCAGGGAATTTACAGTCTTTTGGAGGATGCAAGTCATAGATATGTGAAAGACTAAATTTAACAGTACAAGCATTAAATACAAAAACTAAAACATTAGTCAGAAAACTATATGCTTACCAAGTAAATGAAATAGGGATAATGAGTGGAACAGATTGGCCAGAGCAGAGAGTTTTTTGTGGGGAGTAGTGTGAGATAAGGCTTAAAAGATAAGTTGTTGCTGTATTACAGAGGGCCTTATTACCAGACTCAGGAATTTGGACTTTTTTCTAGAACAGTAGAGAGCCTAATTGTTGATCTCCTTTTCCTCTCCCCCCCCTTTTTTTTTGCCCTTTGAAGCAAAAGAATGACACGTGAACATTGTTTAGAACCAGTTAGAAAGACAACAGTCCAGCTGTAAGATGGTAAAAGACTTGAACTAGAGTGGGAACAATATAATTAGAGAGGACAAGATGGATATATAACATTATAAAATAAGATTTCCTAAGACTTGTTGATTGGATATGCATAATAATGATAGTTCACTGGAGAAAGCTTAGAGGCAAAGAATTTAACTTTAGGGAGCATTTGAGGAGTGACAGAAACTAAATCAGCAAAGGAAACAAAAAAAGGAGTGAACCAGAAAAATTGAAGGAGAATTAGAATAACGTAATGTAATGGATGCCAAGAGTGATCAGTTTGAAAGAGAAAGTTGTTGGTCAACAGTCTTAAAAATTACAAGAGAGCCCAAGGAAAATGAGAACTAAGAAGTCATCGTTAATTTTAGTTTCTGGTATTTTCATTATCAGTCATCTTTTAACATCCTGCTTGGGAATTTGGCTCAAAATATCTGCTCAAGATGGCATAGTGGGAAGAGTGCTAGGCTTTGAGAAAAGAAGACCTGGCTTCAGATACCACCTCCCACATTCAACAAGCTAGGTGACACTGGTTGGGCAAGTCATAAAACCTCTGTGGGCCTCAGGCAACTTCCAAAGATTTTTCAACTCTTTGTAAACTGGTTGAAGTGTTTATTTGGGGAGGGTGTTCCCAAAATTGGGAATTTCATATGCTGAAATCATAGCTTATTTATGTATTTACCCAAGAATTTCTGGTCTTTCTTTTTTTTTAACTCCTCTGCCCAGGGCCTCACTTTCTCATTACCAGTATTGCTTTTGTCCCTACCACTACTAAAACATAACCAGTGACTTCTTTATTTCCACATCAGTTTGATGTCCTTTTCTCATGCTCATTTGACCTCTCTGCCTTTAAACTCTATTGACAATCATTGACAATCACATTGTCCATTGTGGTTTTCAAGATATACTTCTTACTTTTGTAATTATACTTCTTTCCTAGTTGTTCTTCTTGAAGAACACAAGAAAGATCCCTAACATTCTGTTCTTGGCCCTCTCTTTGCACTTTCCCATGACATCTCCACCATTTCCATATATTCTGTTGTCATATAGTTAACTCAGTTTAATTCAATACACAGTAATTGTTCACCCCCTTGCAGTATACTGCATTAGATTCCCATAACTGTATCTCTTGTCCAAATTTTTGACCTGATATCCAAACCAAGTTTCCTTGACTCAGTGAACTAACCTTAGTCCTTTACTGGTCAGCATTTTTTTTTAATTGGTGACTTGAATAAAGACATAGAGGGCATATTTGTCAGATTTGATGATGATACAAAACTGGGGGAAATAACATGGTGGTTAACGTTCAGGATTCACAAAGATCTCCAAAAATGAGATTAAGAGACTGAATCTAATTAAATAAATGTAATATGTTTAATACTTGGTTTTCAAAAATTCATTTCACAGGCATAGAAAGTACCACTGAACTTTGAAAAAGATTTAGGGATCTTAGTGGTCTACAAGTTACAAGTCACTGATATGAAATGATAGTCAAAAAAATCTAAAAAAATCTAATGCTCTTCTAATAGAGATATAGTATATAGAATGAAAGAGATGATAATTTCTTCATATATTCTGCCCTGATCATACCAAAGTAATAGTCTTTAGTTATGGGTGCCAGTTTTAAGAACTACTAGACATTATATCCGAAGAAGAAAACAGGATGATAGGCCTAAGTACAAAAATAATGCAGAAATCAGTTGAAAGAAATGGGGAAATTTTAACCTAAAGGAGAGAAAACCTGAGAATTGTCTTCAAATATTTGAAGGGCTGATATATGGAAGAGAAATTAAGCTTGCTTTTTGCCTCAGAGAGCAAAACTAGGAATAATGGGTTGAAGTTGCAAAGAGACAAATTTAAGCAGGTATAAGTGAAAGATTCTGTATTAAAACTATCCAAAAGTGGAATGGAATCCAAAAGTAGAAAGTTGTATTTCACTGTTCAACCATAGAGTAGGTAATTGCTTATTTGGCATGTTGCAGCAGATATTCTTGTTTAGTTGTTGTTTGGATAAATGGACTTTAGGCCTCCTCATCTCCCACCTTCTTAAAGGAACTATGTCAGAGGTGCCACTATTTTCATTGCTTGAGGTTTTTGATGTTTGGCTTTTTATACCATAGATATTTTACTATATATTACAAAGCACCAACATTTCCCCTTTCTGCCCCTCCCCCCCCCCCCCCCCCCCCCCCCCCCCCCACACACACACACACACACACACACACACACACACACACACGCGCGCGCGCGCATATTCTTTAACTTGTCTTCCCCACAGACTCCTTCTTTGTCACAAATCTGTTCTCTGAAATCAGTATTGGTTGTTGCCTGTAGTCTAAGTTCAACTGCCTTTGGATTTGGAGTCAGGAAGACCTGAATTCAAATCCTGTCTCACACTAACAGTGTGACTTCAGGCAAGTCATTTACTCTCTCTCATCCTCTCAGTTTCCTTATCTGTAAAATAAGAATAATAGGACAGTTAGGTGGTGTGTGGATAGAGCACTGGGACTGGAGTTAGGAAGACTCATCTTCCTGAGTTCAAATCTGGCCTCAGATAACTTACTAGCTGTGTGACCTGGGCAAGTCACTTAACCCTGTTTGCCTCAGTTTTTTCATCTGTCAAATGAGCTGGAGAAGGAAATGGCAAACCACTCCAGAATCTTTGCCGCTGGAATCACGAGGAGTCAGACGCAACTGAACAACAACAGTTAGCATCTACTTTTCAGGGTTGTTGTGAGGATAAAATGAGGTATTTTTTAAATGCTTTGCAAATTGTGAAAGTGCTATGTAAATGCTAGTTATCATCATCATCAATTTGCATTATTTTTGTCATTGTATATATTCTTCTAATTCATCTTTCTTCACTCCAAACCACTTCATATAAGATTTCCCATGCTTCCCTGAATCCCTTATCTTGATTATTTCTTGGTAATATTCCATTCAATTCATTTTATATGCAACATTTTATTCAACCATTTCATAAATGATGGGTAACCACTTTCTTTCCAGTGTTTTACTAAAAGTGCCATTATGGCTATTTTGTCATATGTAGCTTCTAATTCTTTCTGTGACCCCTTTGGAGAATATAGCACTATCATTTTTTCTGTTACTTTTGTTCAAAATCTTGGTATTGTTTTTCACTCTTCTCTGTCCTTCACCCTCCAAGTCACATTGATTTGGTCTCACATTTCTCCTGCATCTTTCATATCTTCTGTTCCCACTCCCCCTAGTCTAATATGAGCCCTTATTCTCATTCACCTAAATTGTAAATTCCTTTAGAACAGGTACAGTTCATTTTTGTTGTTATCCCCAGGACCTAGCACATTACCTTGCAACACATAATTGATACTTAATAAGTGCTTGTTGAATTTGTCCTTTTTTAAAATGCCTTTTATTTTGATACAGTAGACAAGCAACCTCCTTTACAAATTACGTTCTCCCCAGTTAGTATATGACTGTTAATACAAGGAAAAGATGTGTCCTCTAGCTTTAATGGTATGATACTAATGTTGACCATTGTATTTGACCATTATTTTTTTTTGCTTTTCATTGTCTTCATAGTTCTTCATAGTTCATCATGCCTTAAAGTATAATAATTTTCTATTGTATTCATAGTTCATTCAGCCATTCCCTAATTGTTGGACATGTTTTTGTCTCCAGCTTTTTGTTACAGATAATGCTACTGTGAATATTTTTGCATATATGAATTTTTCTTGCTCTCATTAATCTCCTCTGGGGTATTGTCCCAGATTGTGGAATCTCTAGGTCAAAGGGTATGAACAATTTAATATCCGTTCTTATATAATTTCAAGTTATTTTCTAGAGTAGTTGAACCAAGTTACAGTTCCAGAATTGGTAAACTCATATGCTTTTCTTCCCACAAACCTTCTAATAATGGCTTTTCCTGCCTTTTTTACAGGAAGCTAGGTGGCACAGTGGATACAGTGCTGGGCCTGGGGTCAGGAAGACCTGAGTTCAAATCCAGCCTCAGACACTAGCTTAAATCTGAACAAGGTTAACTTCAGTTTGCTTCAGTGATAATGGGAGTGATAATAACAGCATCTACCTGGCTGGGTTGTTGAAATAATATTTATAAAAATGCTAGCACAGTACCTGGCACATAGAAGTCATTATATAAATGTTTATTGCCTCTTGTCCTCTTTGCTCATTTGATTGTGAGGTGATTTGGGATTCTTTGTCATCCACTCTGTGCTTGTTCCAGTTTGTCCTCCTCAGTGCTGCCAGATTTTCCATATATAAGGACCTAATAATGTTACTCCCATTCAAAAATCATTTAATGGCTTCCTATTGCCTACCAAATGAAGTTCAAAATTAAGCCTGGTGTTCAATGTACTTCACAATCTGAATAATTTTTTTGTATTTCCCTTAGCACATGGCAGAACAGCCATGTAGTACATGCTTAATAAATGTTTTTTTGAAGTGCAGTAACCTCAAACACAAAGTATTTGTTTATGTTTACCTAGGATATTCAGAAGGTTAGAATCGTATCTTTTTTGTTTGGTTGGTTGGTCGGTTTTTTGTTTTGTTTTGTTTTTTGGCTAGGCAATGGGGTTAAGTGACTTGCCCAGGGTCACACAGCTAGTAAGTGTCAAGTGTCTGAGGTCAGATCAGGGAAAGGGAAAGGGGAGAACAAAAAGATTCTTTTGACCTGAAGATACCTTTGGGACCTCCAGAAAAAAACTACATCATGAATACTTATTTCAGTACTTTTAAGGATCATTAGTTTTGAAACCATTGGATATTAGTATTCCTTCCATCATGGATACAGCTTAGTAGATAATAAATTATCACCCTGTAGCCACCCTGTTGATGAATGTTTAAACCTAGATATGCTTGTCCTTATATGACAGACATACAGTCCATAACAGAATCCACACCCAAAGCCTTTTCAGCTTATTTTTCAGAGATTATCAGTCTTCATTTTGGTGGTATAGCCATCATAAAACCCAAGATAAGTTATGCAATGAACTATAAGAAATTCTCTTAATTAGGTTTGATCCTTTTAGAACTGGGGAAAAAAATTCTTAACAGCATACAAAAGTTGAATATCTTTCTAAATAATGGTGTGAAATGTCATTTTTTTCTGGCATTTCACTGAAACTCAGAGCAAATGTTTCAAGTTCTTCTTGAAATAATTAAGCAGAGTTGATAGATATAAGTAAATATAGGTGATACCCCATTATAGTAAATACCATTAAAAGAATATATTCTAATTAAAATAATTTGCCCTACCCCATCTCATAGTTACATCATTGTTTTATGCTAACGAGACAAGGAAATCTTTAGAGCAAATAATAAAGTGTGTAAGAAATGCTTTTTCTGCTTTCATTTTCTCTTCTTACCTCATTCACACCACTTGCCACCACCATCACCAACAACAAAAAAACCCTGCCTTAACTACCTTAACAGTATTCAAACCTAAATATTTAACAGTATACAAAGATTTCCAGGAGCTTAGAAGAGGAAAGAAGTTGGGATCACGTGTATATCACACTTTTTATTTATGTTCAGAGTACTTCATTTCAACTAAATAATGTATGCTAGGCCCTAGGGATACAAAGACTAGGAAAACAGTATGTACATATATAAGCATATACTGAATAAATGAAAAGTAATTTGGGAGCAGCAGGGGAGCCCTAATAATTGGAGGATCAGGAAGGAGGGCCTTCTTTAGGAAGTGGCGCTTGAGCTATTATTTAAAGAAAGCTACAAATTCTACAGGCATAGAGGGAGAGCATTCCAAGCATGAGTGACAACCAATGCAAAGACAAAGAGGCAGGAGATGGAATGTCATACAGAGGAAAGTTTGGGCTGTAGAGTTTGTTTGGGGAGTAATATGAGATCAGCATGGAAAAGAATAGATTATATCCAGATTTTGAAGGTTTTAGAAGCAATTGAGAGACATTAAAGCTTCTTGAGCAGGTCAGGGGCAAAGTCAGATATTTTGGAAATATCAATTCCTGTGGCTGTGTAGAGGATGAATTGGAAAAGTCAGGGAAGACATGAGATCAAGAACCTAATTGGAAAGTTTTTTTGGAGGTTCAGTTGAAAGGTGATAAGGTCCTGAACATAAGGTATGTCTGTATGAGTGGACAAAACAGGGTACATGTCTTGGATATAGAATCAATACGATTTACCAATTCATTGGATACGGAAGATATAGGAGAAGGTAATGTGTGAGGTAATAAATTTAAACAACCAATTGATGGTGTCATTGGTAGAAATATAGGATTTAGGAAGACGATGGAGGTAGAGTTTTGGGGGTGCAAAGGTAGTGAGCTCTTTTTTTGTTGAATTTGAGATGATGGTAACCGTATAATGACACTACACAGGTAGGTAGTTGGTGATGTAGGGTTGCAGCTTTGAGGAGAGAAAGAAGCTGATGTGTAGATTTGGGAGTCATTTATATAGATGATAATTGAACATATGGGAGCTAATGAGTTCAAGAATGGAAAGACCAGAGAAAGAAGACCCAAGACACAGCCCTGGGGACACTTTGAAAAGGGGATAGAGAGGGAAAAGGATCCAACAAAGTATACTGAAAAGTTATGTTTAAGTATAGAGGAAGAGAGCCAGAAAAATGTACTGTTAAGAAAACTCAAAGAGGAGGTTGTAATCAAAAAAGGAGGACTGAGCAGAGGTCATTAGATTTAGCCTTAAAACTCCCTAGAGAAAATATTGCTGGGAATCACCTTTTGTATCCAGTTCCTTGGTGACTGAATACAAGGAAAATGCTGAATATGAAGAGAGAAGTCAAGGAGGGCTCTTAGAGATATTGAGCTCGAGGGATTAGAATTGTGGTACTGTAAAAGTAATTTCTAACAAAGTATTCATTATCTGAAATTCCAATACAATGCAACAATTTGATTATCTATGGAATTCATTATGATGATAACCTTAACTTCTGTGTTAAACCATGATAATTTTTCTTCCCCTTTGCTTCCTGTAAGGATACCTTTAAAGCCAAAGTATCTCCTGGCCTGGGATAGGAAAAGAAAAATTAAATTTGACATGTTTTGAAGTCTCAGACCATTAGACTTAGCACATATAGATATTCAGTCAGAAGATAAGTAGGAGAGGACATTAGAGTTAAGAAGACCTGTGTTCGGATCCCACTTCTGACGTTTAATAATTGTATATGACCATGGGCAAATCCCTTCATATCATTAAGCCTTAGTTTCCTCAATTGTAAAATACGTACAGTCCTTCACAGGCCTGTTGTGAGGGTTGAATAAGATAATATATGCAAAGCATTTGCAATTATGAAATGCTAACTGCTGTTATTGAGTATAAATCATTTTTGTATAATAGTGGTTAAGAAAAAAAGCAGAGGTAATAATGTGAAGATGAGATTAGTCTACAGAAGACCATTTTACATTTCATTAGCATCAGCTATGAGTCAGATTGGTGAGGGTAGGTAACAAGGTTGTGGTAAAAAGAAGCTGGAGCTTCCCTAGGGCACAATCTAGAGACATTTCTAGCACTGCCTTCTGTCAGAGTAAGAAAGGTATATGAGAAACAAAATAATCATAAAACCAGGAAATGAAGATTAGCCTAACCCAGATTACCTGACCACACATGTTTTTTGAGCTAGGAGATTCCAGCCTACTGCACTTGTAAAGCAAGTTGTCTTCCCTAACCCAGCTTACTTGTTTCACAAGAAGAAAGACAGTTGTCAAAATTCCACTCAAAATTCCACTCCCTATTTTTAGCAGCAGACTCCTTTGAGTAATCTAGAAAATTTTTGTTTTGATATTTTATCAAAATGCTATTTCATTAAAGTGTTATCTTCTGATCTAATAAAGTTCTGTTGAATTAAAATTGAATTATAAGCCTGACTAATGTGGTCCTTTTTTTTTTTTATCATCTCAGTTTGCTCTGTGATGAGAGTATGTATAACATCTGTTGTGTGGTTAAGGTTTGACAGATACCCTGATTTTATGTTGGGTTTTCTTTTTCTAAACTAAATTGGTTCAGAATGGTTTCTTTCTGGCTTCTGGTATATTTAATATGGATATGCATGTAAAAACAGAATGCATCTACTTTTTGACCACTCACCATCTCAGCTATATTTATAGGAAATACATAAGGGCCAAGAATTGGACAAGAAAGGATATATAGTAAGGGGAATAGTTCAAAATGATGCAATATTTGACCTCTCTTTTCAGTAAAATTAGACATGCTGATTCTGATAGCTAATTCACGTCTAAAAACATGACTAAGTTAATTCATATCTAAAAGAACTTGCTAGAATGTATTTGGCTCTTCTTCCTTGCAAGCATCATAACAAGCCTACCCTGATTCTCTGCCCAGGAACAGAAGCAGTTGTAGCAGTGCCTAAGAAATTTGTGAGCTAAAACTTTACATTACTTAGTTTTGCCTATTTGCAAAATCAAATATTATAGCACTTCATTTATGCAAGGATTACTTAACTGATGATCCCAACTAATTGGAACACAGCCAAAACCCAGGAAGTGTCTGAGCAATCAAATTAGATGTCATTTTCTATACTAAAGTTCATGAACTCTTTGTATAGGAGAGCTTTTCAGGCCCTCAAGCCTGTTTGTACATGTTTTAAACACAACTTTGGTAATCCTGGTTTTCTGTTTCTCAGTCCATAGCGAATTAGAAGCCAAATGGGGAGTTGGTATAGAGGAACATACTGGCAGCAGCAAGAAATGCTAGCTTAGTGAGGGAAAAGGTAAAACAGCTTCTAAAAACAGACATAACTCATAAACATTAGCAGTCTGCCATTGCATTTTAAGTGCAAAAATTTTTCTTTTACTGAGTCCATCACTGTATGAAAGCACCATAAGAGTGTCAGTTGTTACTAATTTGCGCCTTGCACTTAGTAGACATATTAATAAATGTTTTATTTCATTGACTTATGGCCTATTACACACTAAGAAATCTCTTACAAGTAACCCAATTAATTTTTCTTACTTTAAACATCTGATTGCGTATCTGATGGGCATTAACTTTTCTTCTTTACAGGCTCAGTAGATGAAGGAGTCACTGAAGGACTACCTACACTTCAAAACACCTCCAGCACTAATACTCACGCAGACGATGAAGATCGGTAAGGACAAACTTATTAGGATGCATAATCTTCCACTTCTACTCATTGGAGTTGCTACTGATCTCTGCCCATCCATACTTTCTGATCCTGTGCAGTTCTTGTTCATATAAGATCCTTTTAGATACTTGGGTATACATGCATCCATAAATTATGATAAGTTCTGCTCCATAACAGATGGTGCTAACAGTTTCATTGTATTTGTTTGTAAATTTAGTATTAGCCCAGTATAGGGAATTAATTATACTTCCTAGTACAGAATGTAATGCTAATTGGAAATGGTGAGCATAAAATAGTGGAGTTGTAGGGAAAGGTGTCAGGTAGCAGTCTCCAGGGCAGGAAATGTAAGTACTTAGGTAGGAGGACTTGTTATAGGTACTCTTGAATAATTTTTCCGCTTGAACCCAAGGATTTGTTTGAAGAGCACTATTTCTTTTCATAATGTTCTTTATCAAACATGGTTGTGGTTCCTGAAACATAATATTAAAAACTTTTTTGTTGGTGTTTATAAAATGGATCTTATTAGTTGACATAGAATTCAGTAGTGTTCCATTTTATTGGAAGAACATAGAGTAGATAAGAAAAATGTTAATTTATGTAAAATACTTAATCTTTTCAAAATTACACATTGAGTTATCTTTCTTGAAATTGTACTGTTTTCTGTGTGTGAGGGAGTAACACAGGAACTGAGCAGATAAAATATTCATTCATCAATTTAGCAAGCATTTATTAAGTGCTTACTTTTTGCCAGGCATTGTGTTAAGCACCAGGAATACAGAGGGAAAAAACAAATACTTCCTGCCCTCAAGAAACTTTTAGATTCTAATGAAGGAAACAAAATGTAAATCCATAAACATTGAAGAATTTAGCTGAATTTTATCATGGCATTTGGGAGTTAGCAGCTATAAAACTTCAGTAAGATAAATGCTAATATTCATCTGAGAAGCATCTGGTTCAAGGAGAAACTTATTAAAATTAAAGGAATGAAAAGGTCAAGCCTTTTATATATATATGTCCCTGTGATTTTAGATCCAAGTTTAATTCTGGACATTCTTTGTTCCTAATTTAGAGAGGTTTTTTTGTTTTTCATAATGCTTCAGATACTGGCTTTCTAATCCATCAATCATGAAAATAAGTTTGGAAAAGTCATTTAAAATTTATTTGGCTTGCTTAAAATAATTCAGTTATATATTTGCCTAGCCTTAAAATGAAAATATGGATGCCTTTTGTGGTTCTTGGTTTTTGTTTGTTTGTTTGTTTTTTAGATTGGAAAATGTTCAGTATCCCTACCAACTCTACATTGCTCCTTCTACCAGCAGCACAGAACGACCAAGTCCAAATGGTCCAGATAGGCCTTTTCAGTGTCCAACTTGTGGGGTCCGATTCACCCGCATTCAGAACCTTAAGCAGCACATGCTTATCCACTCAGGTAATGTTAGCTTCTCTGTAGTGGTTTAAATTATGATGATTCTTAAAATTTGGGTGCAGGATTCTAGTCAAAATGTATTTGATTATACAGAAGCTGGGTTGTTTCTGGGCTTGACCTAAAGCTTTCTAGGGAGACAAAATCCCAGAGCTGGAAGGGATCCAGAGATAATCCAGACCAGTTCATACCTGAAGCATTATGCCATAGATAGCATCCCTAACAATTTCCACTTGAAGACGTCCAGTTGATGGGAAATGAATTACTTCCTAAGGCAGTGCATTACCACCACCCCCCCTTTTTTTTAAGTAACTCTGATCATTTGGGTTTTTTTCTTATTTGGAGACAAAATTTTCCTTTTCTGAAGCTTCTCCCCAAAGCTATTTGTGGCTTTCTCTTTGAGGGTCGAGCTAAATAGATGATAATCCCTCTTCCACAAGAGTCACCATTGCCACCAGACTACCATCTAACCCAAGGACTTTCTAAGACTTTATTCTTCTCCAAGCTAAGCACTCCCAGTTCTTTCGATCAGACCTTGTGTAGCATATTTTAAAGTCTCATCATCAGCCTGGGCCTTTCCCTTAGGATTTACATCAACTTCCTTTCTAAAATGTAGGACTAGAACTGAATGCAGTACAAGGACAAATATGTGACAGGATTATCACCTCCCTTGTTTTGTGGACACTATTTATGCAGGGGTTTGGTTTTATTTTTTTGTTGTTGTTTACTTTTGTAAAGAAAACATCATAGGGGCAGCTGGGTGGCACAATGGATAGAGCTCTGACCTGAATTCAAATCTGGCCTTGGACATTTGACACTTACTAGCTGTGTGACCTTGGACAAGTTACTTAACCCCTATTGCCTCATCAAAAAGAAAGAAAGAAAAAGAAAACAATGTAATCTTAGAGATCTTAAGTGTGAGTCATTTATTATTGTTGCTATTAACCCTCAGGTTTTGTTTTTTGTTTTACATGAACTATTATGTAGCTTCCTCTCTGTCACCCAGTGCTTATATAATTGAAACTTTTAAATCAAATTGGGAACTTTACATTTATCCTAGTTCATCTCATAGATTTGACTCAATAGTATATTGGAAAAATGTTTTGGGATTTTGTTTCTATCATCCATTATTAGTTATTTCTACTGGCTTTGTATTATCTGTAAATTTAGTAAGTTTGTCATTTATCCTTTTAAGTCATTAATAAAAAATTTGAACATGACCATATGATTTACCATGTCCCCTCATTGAAGCTTGTTCTTTGAAGTCTCATAGCAATAATCATTTGGTTTTACGATGACCAGCAATAGTGGCACACATCAATATTCTGTCTCCTGTTTCTGAAGTATTCTAGAGAATGTTTTTTGATAATAATTTTGCTAATAATTTCAAGTTGCACATGGCAACAAAATTGCATTTTAAAAATCTGTTTCTATGAAATTAAGATCTATTTGATTTAGGCCCTCCAAATTGTCTCTTTCATAGAAGCAGTATTCTTTCTTCCCCACAGGCATTAAACCATTTCAGTGTGACCGCTGTGGGAAAAAGTTCACCCGGGCTTACTCGCTAAAGATGCATCGCCTAAAGCACGAAGGTAAACGCTGTTTCCGGTGCCAGATATGTAGTGCCACTTTCACTTCCTTCGGGGAATATAAACACCACATGCGGGTTTCCCGGCACATTATCCGCAAGCCTCGGATTTACGAGTGCAAAACTTGTGGCGCCATGTTCACCAACTCTGGAAATTTAATCGTTCACCTGAGGAGTCTGAACCATGAAGCGTCAGAGCTAGCAAACTACTTCCAGAGCAGGTGAGGTGCACAACAAAAATCTAACCAGGGAAACTGCTTTTCTAAACTCTCTCTTCCTACTTTCAGGGCAGCCTGCTGTGCTTTTTATCAGGTTTGCCAGCTAACTGCAGTCACATTCACTTTTAACCTCCACTCCACTATCCATACTCTGATCACTTCTTAGTTGTATACATTTTATATGCTCACTATTAAGATTTTTTACAGTAATCAGAACACTTTTAAATGTTATTTTTTAAGTAATAATAAGCTAACAAAATCATTCTATAATATTAATGTTATTTGCACAGTGGACTACAATACAATTAACCATATCATAATATTTGGCTATAATGAATTATTTCAGACACTTTGGGGGTAAGAATAGATTTTTGACCATTTCTTTTTCTTTTAAGCTCTGTGAGAATATTTTTATCAAATGGAGTATTTTTATAGAGGAACTTTGGAGTAAACTATAATAGATCAATTGCATTTATTTCCTTTTTACCCTTTTGAACAAGATCAGTGAAATATCCTTTCTTCCTTTTATCTTTCTCCTTAGGTAGACTGCTATCAATAATAATTTTCAGAAGAGTTACATTTCTATTTTCCCCCAATTTTTTTTAGTACTTATTGAAAACTGCCTGTGTCTTGAGCTCATAAACACTGTAACATTCTTAACTTTAAAGGTAACATTTATAAAAGCATTTTGTTTATTGGCAGTGTTCTATTTGTTACCAAAGTTCTTTTTTTCCCGAAAGCAAAACATTCTCATTTTAGGGGCAAAATTTGCTTAGTATATTTAGTTCCTGCTTCCCAAATATTGGTCTCCCTTTGGTTTTTAAAGAAATTTTTCATTATTTGCTTGGCACAGTGACCAAGTTTTAACCATCCTTTCATTGGTAAACTGAATTTTTTATATCTTTGTGATTCTCGTACTATAGAACTTTAACTGTATATGTACAGTTTTCTCTAAGCTAGAAGATTCTAATTGACTGTGTGAACCAACTAAGCTTATTTAGGCTTTGAAGAGTAAATGAATGTGGTTCTTTTGTTTTTTATATATAGTCTCGTTTCTAACATCATCTTAAGATTTTGTCAAAATTTGTACATTGGGTATATGTTTGGGCCCATGCAAATTTTCATTGTACTTTCTTTGATTCATGCTAAATAATCTGATGGTAAAATGTCCAGTCATGACAAAAGTTATGCCCTAACAGTGAAATTTTCTTAACTCAGACATGATGAAAGACTTAGTTAATCAAAATTGATAAAATATTTAAAGCAATTAGAGATGTTGAAGCAATAATTTTTTAGAGGTCAAAATATATCCCTTTTGTAGTGAAATTTGCATACAAACAGCTACATGGTGCTGTGGATAGAGCATTGGACCTGAGTTCGAATCCTGCCTGTATACTTAGTAACTAATTCTGGTCAAGTCTCTTAACTTTTGTTTGACTCAGTTTCTTCTTCTGTAAAATAGCACCTTCCTCCCAACGTTGGTTTTTGTGAGGAATAAAATGGGATAATATTTGTAAAGGGCTTTGTAAACCTTAAATCACTGTTCAAATGCTAGCTGTTATTACTACCACTGCTATTATTGCTTAAAATTGGCATTGGAATCTGAATGAAAATCTTTTTTTGGAGAATTAATTCATAAGTATTTCTTATATCTTCACCTCAGTGTCTGAAAATGACTTGATTTTTTAATTTTTCTACTAGGTAAAATATTCCCAAATCCAAGTATGCAGAAGGGTTTAGCTCCCTAAATTTATTGTCTAGTACATAGGTGCGGAACCTGCAGCCTCGAGATTACATGTGGCCATCTAGGTCCTCAAGTGTGGCGCTTTGACTGAATCTAAACTTCACAGAACAAATCCCCTTAAGAAAAGGATTTATTCAGTAGAAGTTGGACTCAATCAAAAAGCTGCACCTGAGGGCCTAGCAGGCCACGTGTGGCCTTGAGGCTGCAAGTTCCCCACCCCTGGTCTAGTGTCTTTTTGAAGTTGGATTTGTATATAGTTTACCCAGCAGGGTAAGAAACTGAGATAGATATTGACATTTCATTCAGAAGATATGCTTGTTTCAATGGATATGGTGATAGGATCAGTTTTGTATTTTCATAAAATGTAAGATATAGATTGTCTCTCCAAATGCAAAATATTTTTAAAATACTCCCATAAGTATAGTGTTTTTATGTTGCTAAGATAGATATCTGTAAAAATTGGAAAATAACATCTTCCTTTAAAATAATTTACTATTCATATTTAAAAGCACCATTGTTTTTTTTAGTGTGAGAATGTATTTTACTGACTCCTGTTAGTATTTAGAAACAATTTTCATATCCTTAAGCACTAGGACAAGTGCCTTTTATGTTTGTGACACTTTTTTATAAAATCACTAAGATGGTAGTATTCTTTTTTTTACAGATTCCTTAATTCTCTGTTTGAGTACTACTAACAGAAGAAATGTTTTATGGTTTTTTGTTTTTTGTTTTTTGTTTGTTAACATTCTTTGCTAGGTAAAAATGTCCAAAATCCCTGCTCTCCACGAATAGTTTTAAAAATCAACATATAGAATAGTTAATACTTCTTCTTATGTTTATGCAGTTAGGCATTCTTCCCTTAATTTGCCCATTAAGCAGATATTTTTCTGTCAATGAATTTTTGACAGTATTTTTCAGATGCAAATGTTGAGCTAAAGGATGACAGGCCCATTCCATTCTTAAGCACTTTTAGATAGCATATTGCTGTTTGCAGCTTTTTAGGTACTTTGATGATTAGATACACCCTGTTGACATATACCCTCTAATAGCTGTGTTTTCTTTTTTCTTTAGAGAAGAATTTAAATGTTTTGATATTTAATATGTTAGTGTAGTGTTCTTGGGTTTTACCAGTTAAACGGGGAGGCACATCTCAAATAAAAGGTTGTGGTAATTGCTCCAAATATCAGTTATATAACCTTTATTTTTCCAGTATGTGGACATAGTTTTGAAAGCATTCTTCAGCCGCTTTACACATTTTAACATATTTATAAGCATATTTATATCCCCTCATAGAACATCTCCTCTCCCTCCCCCTCAAATCCAGTAATATTTTCACTATCTCTACACACTGTAATCTTGAAATATATGCATGCCTACTAGCATTTCATTTTTATTTCAGAAATAATGTAGGAATTCATATTCCCAGTTTAACATTTTCATAACTTTTATTTGAGTGTAGAAATACCCTGAAGATCATTTTCTTAGCTGAAAAGAAATGTGATGTGATTAGGATAAGAAACTTGAGAGAGGACAGTAAACTAGAATGTAAAGCTGCTGTAGCATTATAAGCAATACAAAATACCACATGTTTGGTCTCCTTTATTTTAATTTTACTCAGGAGCAGTGCTATAAGAAATACTTATGTTGTGAATCAAATTTTCTTTTCCTTTAAGTTTTAGTAATAATTTGGTTGGGCAAGGACTTTACTGCATTTCGTGCTGCTTTGAAAAGTAACTTTGTGTTTTGTCCTTTGCCCCTCATTTAGTGATTTCCTAGTACCGGACTACTTAAACCAGGAGCAGGAAGAGACCCTAGTTCAGTACGAGCTTGGAGAACACAGTTTTGAAAGCAATTCGTCTGTCCAAATGCCCGTCATTTCACAGGTCTCATCAACTCAGAATTGTGAAAGCACTTTTCCCTTGGGGTCTCTTGGTGGTCTGACAGAAAAGGAGGAAGAAATGCCAGAGCAGCCAAAGACCAGTGCCAGTACTGAGACAATTAGAGATGACCCCCCAAAATTGGAGCTATCTTCTATTACTATTGAATAATTTCATGTTTTGGCGTTGTTTTTGTTATGTTTTGTTTTGTTTTAGAAAGTGCCTGTGCTTGGTTCTGTACATTTTTTAATTTAATTTTTTAAAGAAGAAAGGGTGTACTGGGGGGAACATCCTTTTTACTTTGTAGCTATGCTTTAAACAGAAAATTGCAACAGGTGTCATTTTTCATGACAAAGAGGTCACTCTAAAACTGAGTGGTACAGTAAGATCATGTCAAATCAAAATAGAAGCTGTGATACACTTAAGGAAAACTGACTCAAAACACTTAGTAATTTCTTCTTCCACCATTACTGTAGGTTGCCTCTTATCTGCAAGCCATTGGGGAAAGAAGAGAGCGGAAGACTTTTAATCTGACTAAAATGCAAATATATGCCAGAAATATATTACCATACAGACCAATATACTAAGTAGATACTTATCACTCTACTTAGGACCTTGAACAATATTTTGTAGAGCCTGCTGTTTTCTTGAACTGTTTACAAGTAAAGTTTTTGTTTGGAAATTATTATGGTAAATATTTCTGAAACTTAACAAAATTGCCTTTTTGAAGCTTTGTCATTCTTTTTTTATGATACTCCATCCTTTAATGTTTCACACTTCTCCAGATGCATATTTCTTGCTTATGTGGAGGTCTGCAAGAAACTATGATTTTTCTTTTAAGTCTAGTTGTACATTTAGAAATTGAGAGATAAGGAAGGAGAATAATATACATCCTGTCCTAAAAGAAACTAGTCTACACATCTTCATGCCATAATTTTTGGCTGAAAGCTTGTTTACCTGACCTATGACCGTTGATGTTTGGTTTATTAAGTGGTTTATTGTCCAATCCGTTTTCTTCCTACCCCATCTTCAGTTGTATTTTATTTTTCAAATACTGGCCCAGCAGCAAATTTATTGAAGGTAAAATATTGGAGTCTTTTGTGTTTATACATATGTATGTATACTGTTGGTGATTTTTATTATTCTGTTTGGGATAAAACAAGGAATTCTCTGTAGAGGCCAAGTTCTTAAACCCAACAGGGGGCTGTTTACAGAAAGTCTGATAAATTATCTTTTTTCCAAAATATTTTAAACTATTGCCAGGTTTGTTAAAGGCAGCAGTTACTAGAGCTTATACAGACACTTAAAGCAATAAAGTAAGAAGTTTGTGGTTCCATTTTTTTTTTCTAGCTTTAAAAAAGTCTCAATTGGAACTGATGGTCTTATATTCATGAAGGCATCTACAAAGATCTGACAAGTGTAGTTAGAGTAACAGTAACATTAGAGCATTAGATTTGTGGGTATTCCTCATGCTGCTGTGGTATTCGACTCTCCCTGAGTCAGAATTGAAGCTTTTGTGATGCTAGTGATTAATCTAGTGCCATTAAAGCATCACTGGTCTTGAGCCTCCAAAGAAAATGTATATTGATTTCCCAGGGTTATGAAATTTGAAGTAATCCTTTGTTTCTGCATATGGTTACCGAAAATAAATTATAAAATCACTTGTGTAGAATATGAAAAGGAAATGCAGAAACAATACCCTGTTTAAAAAGTAAAATATCTGCATTGTTGTCAGGTGCTGGGCAGTAAATGTAGAATTATTTTTCATAGAAATATGCTAATTTCATTGGACTAGTTTCCATTTCAAAAATTGGCTAATTCAGTGTCTAAATTTAATCATATTTTGAGTTGTTTCTCTTTCATGGCTTTCTTTATGAAGGTAGAAATGCTATAAGATTATACATTATATTCCTTTATAACAGTCAGAACTTACATAATTTCTTCTGAAAGAGTTTAACATTAAGTATTTTCTAGTTTTTACAAACACAAAGATAGGCAAAGTTAAATCATGCAGTTTTTTCTTAGAATAAAGGTACTTGCTCAACCTTCTTCAAAGTGTTTTTACCTCATCTTCCAATCTTGCTTCCTGCTCCCTACCTTGCTTCCATGAAGCCAATTTTGTTCCCAATTATAGGGCTTACCTTTGAACTTTTTAGGAAGATAAGTTAAATAGTATACCGCTAGTTACGCTTTTTGCTGACTGGGTTGAGTTACTTTTTGCAACAGTTTGTCATCTTTTTGAAACAGTACTACATCCATACTAAAGAAAATAGGCTTTTAAAATTTCTTTTAATGTATTGTCCTATCTTTTTCTGTTACATAATAAGTGAAACTTAGTTTCTTTTTAAATCAAAGGCAAAAAGTGAACCTCCCCCTTCTTCCCCACCAAAAAATCAAGGAGTTAATAGTGTTCCATTTTTTTGAATGGGGAAAAGTGATAAAGTGTCTACAGTGAATATGAAGCATTCATTTCTACCTTCTTTTGACATTTTAGTATCTCTTCCTTTTTTATTTAATGTCTATGCACAGCTACAGAGGGAAAAAGTAGTGTTTAGGGTAGAAGGAAGAAGTAGGTGGAATTCAATAATTCTGTCCAAGCTTCCTATCCTCCTGTCCCAAGAACTGAGCAATAAGGTAAGAGAGCTCTACACAGTAGTTGCTCTCAAGGCAGGCTGGCTATATTCTCCATGTGAGATAAGCAACACTGGATACTCTGTACAATTGGAAATTTCAGATGTCCAGATTTCCAGGTTTGTGTAAATTTTAACAACAGCCTCTTAAACTTCACTAATTCCCTACTACTTCCATTGCCCTCTCTTCCCCACCTCACCAAAAAAACAACTTATACTAGGTATTTAGCAGATATTTTGTATGAGAACATTTAAATGAAATCTTTGGTTTTTGAGGGGAAAGGTAGATAATGTCACTGAAATACATTTGGTACAAGGATATTTGGCTTTTAGAAAATTAAGCTATAGAATTATTGCAGATATCATTATGTTTATTTCTAGTTTTCTTAATTTCTCTAAAAAAGGCCTGGAAGCAATTTTTATCATTAATTTGTAGGAGAGTATACACGTGGGTGAAAATACCAGTGCTTGTTTTGTTTTTCCACAGAAATTACCACCACAATACTTAAGCATCGGAATGTTTTCATTTAGATTATTTAATATAGCTATCTTTTTTATGTCCCCCCAATAGTGCTATGTTTTAATGGGCTTAAAGTTTTAGGGTGTATCATAAAATGTCTTTTTTTAAACTAAGGGTTTTATATAAGAAAAGCTTTTCAATCTACTAAATAAGTCTAGTGTACATTAGAAATGAGCAAAGGTGCTCATTACTAACCCCTTGATGCCAGGTGTCACAGCTACATTAGCTCATTTTGTCTTAATTCTGTTCTTTCCATTAGCGTTGGTGAAAGTTCAATGTATGCCATTATGCATAATATGTCTTGGTCAGCCCTTTAGCCCTAGTCCACAGAAAGCGTTACAGTCATTTTAACATCATCAGTGTTGTTCTTTCCAGTATTTAAGTTGTAAATCCATGTAGGAAAGGGGGATGTATCCAATCTTGGGGCTAGGGGGCAGAGAAGAATTGGTATTCTGTTCCTGTGTTTTACGTTTTAATTTTTCTATAAGAGGTTGTAGATGGGGAGTCTTAAATGTTATCAATTATTATGATGACACAATTTCAAAAAAATTTAATAAGTTGTTGGACTACTCTTAATTTGAATTTTAAATAATAAGACATATTTAATCAATCCACTTAAAGTTCTCAAGTGCAAGTTGACTTAAGGGGGTAAAAATGTTTGGGTGGTTAACCAAAGTTTGTTTAGTCTTATACTTTATTATGCAAAAATATTTCAAATTCAATTCTGGATCACAGTAAACATAGCTCCATATGTGTCCTTTAATTCTTTGAAACAAACCAAAATCTGCTATCTGCTAAAATATTTTCAGTAGGTTAAATCTAATAGAATGTTTAGCAAGCTTAATTTACTGTTAATTACTCAATGAAATTATGCCTCCTGAGCCAAATTCTTACAGTACATACATTCTTGACTAAGAGGAACTTCTTAGAAACTAATTTAGCTTTTTCAGTCTCTAGGGTTAAACTATTATTGATCTTATTGGCCTAAGAGTTAGTGCAGTAACCAAAGCTATAGAAGGATCTTGTTTACTGGTTCTCATTGTGAAGATTATTTTGTAATGCTTTGGTCTTTGTGATTTATTGTAACCAGCCCCTCCCCCAAAGTATTTACCATTTACAACATAATGCAGTAGCCTTTCTGCAGTTGTGGTAGTACATAAAGAAGTTTATCTTTAACTAAAGTGTTTTTTGGTTTAACTGAGGAATTTAGGATGTGGTTAAAAATCAACTTATTGACATCTCTGTCATGCTTTAAAAAGACTGTCTCATGTGAGTGTAGTTAAATAATTTTTCAAATAATTACATGGATATGAAAGTATTACCATTATGAAGTAGATAACTGAAAGAAATTATCAAAATGACATCTCCTTTTCATTTATGATTGACTTAAAATACTCAAATACTAACTTAGTTTCCCTTCCTTAAGCAGTAAAACAAAATTACAAAGATATGAAAAAAATGTTATTTTGGAATATATACTTTGAGAAGTTTATAATGCTATGAATAGGTCCCATAGGCTTCTTAAATAAGTTATCAAATTTTTAAAACATTAAATTGGGTCTCTATTAGTCCATACCTGATTCCCCCTTTTGTTTTCAAAGTTGTTTGACAATGTAGCTTTTTATTTGTACTTTCTTAGGAATCCCCCAGTTAACCTAACCATATTTAGTAGGCAATAAAGATTCCAGGTAAAAGACATTACTTTGAATTAACTATTCACTGGACCAGTGTCAGATTCAATGAAGAGAAGCATCTCTGACATTATCATTTTACAAAATGTTCAATACAACTAAGGCCCTAACTTATTTGAGGCTATAGCAGTTTGTGGGAGAATTGTTAATGGAAGTCTTACTTTCTTTTTCAGAAGAAAACTTTGTATGTTTAACCTTCCGATTCCTTTTTACACTCAAGCTAGTCACTGCATTTTTCTGTTTTATAATAAACTGATGCTCTTAGACACATTTATTACATAATGAATATAGTTTTTGTGGTAGAAAAAAAGTCCAAAAGGATTGAGTTTGTGAAAGTGAGATTCTTAAAACAGAAAAACTTTTACTAACTTACACACTAAATTCTCCTGAGATAACATTTCTATGTTTGTACAAGTAGTAATATATTCATAGCCTTCATCCATATAATGCTGCTGAGGTACATAATTTGAGATTGTCATAACAAAGTTCATTTCGTGCCTCAGTAACTAAGTTCCCCTCTGTAGGTTCCAAGTGGTATCTACCTTATGCCAAATTTCACTCTATAGCAAATACTGTTATATTGAAGTTCTAGTGTACATAATAATAGTTTATAAAGAGCTTAGGAATTCAGATAACTGTATTCATACTTTTGAAAAATAATTTTTTGGTCATTTAATTTTGAAGTGCCTGATTTAAAACAATTTTTTCAGTTGCTAGCTCTCTCTTTTCAATTGACTGCATTTATTGGTTAGGCTTCTAGTCTAGATTTTAAGTATGATCTTTTGACATACTATCACTTTGTTCATTCAGATTTTAGTTTTGTGATTCTTAAAATTCCTTGGTTCTACACACACACACACACCAATTTCTAACCATAGCTGAATTTCATGATGCAGTTTAAGGAAACCCTCTCCTTTTATGCTGGACAAGTTAAAAATCTCATTGATGAATGCTCACATACCAAAGTACATCTGATGAGGGAGAAATGTTTCTTCCCTGCTTTGAGGGAACACTAATCATCTCCCTCTTGATGTACATTAAGTTCCTGTTAGCATTACTAGAAGCTGTTCATTTTAGGAGAAGCAGTCTGTCTCTAGGCCCATAGGAGCAGATACTTATAGCAAAAATCTCTGTTGTAAAATTATAGATGTTGTGTTTCCTTAGGCGGCTTATTCTGATTATCAATTTAATTCTCGTGTTGACATGCTATCTTAAAGTCTCTCATACTGAGAGAATAGCAAAGTTTGAAAATTGCACTGCTTTTCAACTTTCAGGTGCCTGATATGAAAGGAATAAGACCACGAACTTTGTTCATTTTTTTTTTCCTAACAAGTAATGGCTTCCAATGCTTATTATTACAAGAGATTTTAAAACATTGTTTTAAACTTCAAAAAAAAAACCAACCCTATGATCCCCCAAAACCAAGTTTTGGTCTAAGTTTCCAAGACTATTTAATTTCACTGATTTCTGGTGCCTCGTGGTGCATCAGATATTGCCTGCCTCTTTTTAGGGCATCTTTGTGGCACCTTATATCCAACCTGGAGGATAGTATATGTCTCAATTGTACATATACCATCTTTTCAAAAGCCATTTTATAAAAGTCCTAGTATTTTAATATTTAAATATATATATTTGTGAAAGATACTTTTAGAATGGACCCCTTTTTTTTAAAATTTAAAATTCTCATTTTTTTAGAATAAAATGAACTTTCCAAGACTCTAATTGTCTTTCTCTATAGCAACATAAAAAGATAGTCAAATTGAGATCAAAGGCCATAATCTGACTATCATAGAAGAAATCGGTGGTGGTTAATGCAAAACATTATGAAAAGCAATGACCCTTAAAGAGACACATGAAAACGATTCATGATTTTAATGCAAGAGAACTAGATTTTTATATAAAAGTGTGCTGCTTTTTTTTTTTTAATGATTTCATATTAGCTGCCATAGTAGCTCAGTGTTTTACAGAGCTAACAGGTCTGGCCCCACCAAAAAAAAATAAAAACTAGATTAAAAACTATACCCCACTGTCTTCCAGATGGGTGACTGTTTTGTTTAACTGATGCATGCTTTAATATTTTGCCTATATCCCTGGCAACAAGGAAATTTGGGGGTGGTTTTCTTAACCCTGCCATTTTATGACTTTCTGGGCACTGGCAGTTTGTGAAACCCTTGAAATATAGGGTATTGCTGGAGGGAAAATGTGAATTAAATTATGTAGGTGGGTGGTGTTGTGTATTCTCCCACTTCTTCCCTCTCCTCCCCCCCAGCTCCTAGCAACAGTAAAACTTTTAACTGTGCCAGTCCCCAATCACCAGCTGTATGTCCAATTGTCATCTCATTCAAATATAGCTTCTTTTGGTGACAGTGGCCACAACTAAGTTACTTGGCATGTTTGACTTTCAACAACAGAAATAGTTTTTGTTTTGCTTTTGTTTAATGTGTACAATGTTTAAAAATTCACATTTTATATACTAGTATCTGGCTATTAGTATTTTTCAGGAACCATAGTTCTTGGTGGCTATATATGTGTATATATACATATATATATATATATATTTTTGTGACTTTTTTTGTAAACTAAGTGCCGTTTGAACGTTACAATCATTTTTAGAGTTGTTGTAATCAATGTGAATATCATGTTTTTTCAAATCTGTTCTGAGCCTGTAGTGTTTGCTTTGTGATCCTACGTGTACTGTATATATTCTGTATAATAACATTGTACCGAAATACTAGCTTGTTTGATATAAGGAGAGTTATGTATTGAGTACTTTTTTTGCTAGCCTGGTTGTTTAATCTTTAAAAAAAAAAAAAGTTTTGAAATACAAAAAGAAAAAAATTTCTCCAAACTGGTCCTTATTGAGGTCCAAAATTGAGGTGCAGTTGGGCAAAAAGGGCAGGGAAACACTAGTTTTTGAGTGTCTTTGGATAGAAACATGAGGCTAAGATTTTTTCATTAAAATATATTATTAATGTTTTATGGAGTAAACTTTTTCTATTTGTTGTTATTTAACCATATATTTCTCACCTCTAGCTAAACAGTTAAGTGGTGAATGGTATCTGAGGGCAGAGGAAACGATATAAGCATTTTTTCTAACTTGTCTCTCTAAAAAGGAAGAGGACTTTGCTTGAGGAGACATTTGTTGAGCACCTACTACATAAAAGCACTATGCTAGATGCTGTGCCTCAGTTTCTTCAATAAATGTGCAGAGGATTGAACAATTCTTCATAGTATTTTACACACCCTCAGCAATAGAAAAGACCCTGTGAGGGAGGCTGACTCTGGAACTATCAGATTTTCCTTTACCTGAAGTAATCCATTTGAATGTAGCATCTTATCTCCCCCCCCCCCCCCCCCCCCCTCCCCCCTCCCCCCTCCCTCTTTCTCTCCCCCCCCCCCCCCCGTATGGGTATACACACACACACACACACACAATTTCCTTTCTGCAGCAGCAATTTGCTGAGTAGCCCCAAGGAGACTGAAAAAATTAATGCATCTTCTAAGGGCATGTTACCTTTACAACCAGAGAGCATTAACTTTAACATCAAGAAAATCTGTTTCATTGTGTACTTAAAAATAAGTAGTGGAAACCTGAAAAGAATTGAGCTTCTCTAGGTTTGAGATCTAGGTTGGTGGAAATTTAAAGTAGCAAATACAAATTCACATTGTAGCCTGTTTGATCTTGTTTGAGGAATGGGTGTAAAAGGAAATTATTTTGATAATATTAAGCTACTAATCTACTGCTATTAGAAGCCACAAGTCACACAGTATTGCCATCCTGCAGTAATTTCGTTTCTTTGGGGAAAAGATACCTCCATATAGCTTATGCTTTAGAAATCTATCCTTTTGCTATTTTTTTTTCATTTCACCTGGCATTCCTCTGTTCGTCCTCCCAGCCACCCCAGCTTGTTTGTCTTGGCATGAGCAAGAAGTCCCAGAAGATCCAATTATTTAACTCTGATTAACTACATGCATCCACTTCAACCCATGCAAATACTTGATTTAAGTACATGCCCGTTTTGCAGATCTTTCCCTTACAACGTGGATTCCTATCTGTATTGGGAGCTCCAGCTGTGTAACTTTGGAAAAGTCACTTACCCTCTTGGCCTCATTTTCCTCATGCAAAATAAGGGGATTGAGCCTAAACACAATTTGAGGATCAGAGGATGGGCACAGTGACTCCATTCAAAAGGTGGAACTGGCATTAAAAGTTTTTGGTTCCTGTTAGAGTAATACTTTGATATATGTATCTCTGAGTCACCCCTGACACCCTGCTGCTACCGTTCAAATCTTATTTCCTGCTAGTTAATTGAGTTAACATCTACAAACAGTTAACATTAATGATTGTCTTTGGCTAGAAGGACCAAAAAAGCAAGTTAGAGGTAAAATTTAGCCCCCAGACAGGTTCAGATCCTAAATAAAATTGCCTCTTAAAGGGAAGAGTAAAGACCTCAGAAAAGTTACAGTGGGTTATCTTAGGACTTAAAGATCAAACCAAATAAAAATATTTTGAAACCAAACTTCATACAAAAACAGATGTTAGCTCTGAAAGGCCACTTTGATAATTGACTTGTAAGAAGAAGCTACAAAAGATAGTTACACTTGGATGACAGAATCAGGATCTAAAAAGTCAGTAAGCATTAAGCATCACTATGTCCCAGGTACTGTGCTAAGCATACAATTCCCAGAACTGAAAGATGGAACATCTTGTTTGTGGAACAGTCAAGAGGGCAAGTGTCACTCGATCAAAGCATGTGGTGGGGGTGGGGTATAAAAAGACCAAAAAGAGAAGGGGGCTAGATTATGAGGAGCTTTGAATGCTAAACAGAACATTTTGTATAAGTTCCTGAAAGCAATGGGGAACTACTAGAGTTTATTTCAGGCCATCGAGACATTGACCAAATTGAGTGTGTTCAGATTAGGATAAATACGATACCAGCTTTACAAGTACAAGATGGAGGAGAAAGATGTCACTGAAAGAGATTATGGGAGTTTGGGTATGTTTGAGTCAACACTGTCACATTAGGAAGGACGCTGATGAGCTAGAGAGCAATAAGAAGGCAACCAGGACAGTGAAGGAATTAAAAAATCATAACATGAGGATTAGCTGAAGGAACTAGGAATGTTTTAGCCCATTAGGGGGTAGGAGGAAATGAAGGTGGAGGGAATGGGCATGATAGCTGCCTTTGAGTATTTGAAGGACTATCATGGAAGAGAAGAATTAAGATTAATTCTTCCCTTCGGGGCCAAGTATGAGAGCAATGGATGTAAATTTTAGTTTGATACAAGAAAAAACTTCCTAACAGCTACACAAAAGCAGGAGAGGATGTATTGGGATAGTGGGTTTCTTCTCCCTGGAGGTCTTCATTGTTGCGCTGTAGTGGTGATTCTTGTTCAGCCCTTTCTAACTCTGAGATTCTGTCATTCCACTTAGTTTTTTTGGAACAAAATTCACTCCCAGCCACAAGTTTCTACTCATAAGATTGAATTGCTGTAAGGTGCACATAAATGGTGAGATTCTTTTTTTTTTAAAGGCAATTGGGATTAAGTGACTTGCACAGGGTCACACAGCTAGTAAGTGTCAGGTGTTTGGTCTGAGGCCGGATTTGAACTCAGGTCCTCCTGATTTCAGGCCGGTGCTCTATCCGCTGTGCCACCTAGCTGCCACTGAGCTTCTTTTCCCACAGTGCAATTACCCAAGTAGACAAAAAAAAAAAATAATGGGACAGAAGAAGCAGAGTAAGAATACACTGTGATAAAACTCTAGTGATTTGTTTTGCCAGAGCTCTGGTGGTCTGAATCTTAATAATAAAACAAAAAACCATGAGGTTTAGAATGAGCAATGTTTGCTTAATTGCTCCAACTCTGGTACAAAGACAGCATAGTTGGAGAGAAGGAATAGGCCTGCATCCATTATATTATTTTCAGGACTCTCTTTCTTAGGAGAAGCCATGGAAAAATCAGAGTTGAGGGGGCAGAGGGGGTATTTCAGATTTGGAATATTTTATTTCTAAAAACTCTGCCTTTGAACTTCTTCTTGAGCTGTATTGGGGAAGGTGGGGGATTGAGTTTTTAATTCTTTAGTCATATCTAGCCAGTAATATCATTATCAATAGGTTTGCTTCTTCACCCCTATTTTATGGATCACTCTGTTCATAGAAAATCCTACCTCTGAGACTTAATGCAGTATGACCAAGAAATGTGTCACAAATCCGCATATCAGAATTTTTGCAGCAAATCGCTAGGGGAGGCAAGAGCAGAAGAATTTTCACCATCACTATAGTTTGCTCTCAACACTTCACTTTTCACATAATATATAACATATATACAATGAGGAATTAGTGAAAAGATGAGGCCTTCTGCAATGTTGAAAAAATCAACCTGTAAGCAAATAGCTGAAAACAAACCAATAAAGCATATGCAGCTGGGTTACTATCCAGACAACATATCTCATTCTTTTCTTCCACCATCCCCAGAAGTGTCTACCTAAGGCTGAGGCAGGGTCAGAGATTGGACTAGGTTCTAAAGAGCTGTGGGAGCAGATCTAAAGGAACAAATTTGAAAGATGTCTGGTAAAGCAAGACTCAGAATCAACCTGGAGTCTAGGAACACCACATCCCAAGAAAAGGAAGTAAATTGGAAATTAATAAAATGTGAACAGGAAAATAGACAAAGAAGTCAGGGTCAAGTTTTAAATGGAAGATTTTGATACATGTCCAGAATGGCAAAAGACAAGTATATCTAAATTGCTGCACTCAAAGATTAGAGGGCAGTAAGAGGATAGGATTCCTAGACCTTTCTATTAAATGTCATCCTGCAGAGAAAGTTCTACTTACCTTGCCTAAAATCTAATCTTCAAATACTTGACTACAGAAAGGAAAACTGGATCAAGTCCTAACAGACAATGCCCCATTATCAGCTTTATGGGGGGGAGACAATGGTAGGTATGGAATCAAGGCCGAAAGTGGAAACTGAAAACTAAAAGGACATTTTCCTCATTTTCCCATTGAAGACGAAGGATGCAGAAGAGCAAAATTGATTTGGGAAGTGAACACCTAAAAAGATAGTATCTGGAAGGAACAAAAAGTGGGGTTTCTAGACCACAACTTAAAATACAGGGATTACAAACTCTTGGCCAGGGATGGAATATACCTAACAAAGGGTCAGTAAGAATGCATTTGCTTAGTGTTTTAAAAATGTAGTCAGAAGACCTTTAAAATGAAAAGCATGAGGGAAGAATGACTTTATCCACCAATAGAAGGTAACTACAGTGAGAGGATAGTAGTCAAGATACTCTGAAGTACCAAGGAGACAGTGCAAAGAAAAGAGCCAATAGTAAAATCCGTGGCCTCATTTCTATACACAAATACCAAAGGCTAAACTGACAAGCAAGAAGAATTAGAGATCCTAATGCAAGTCAAGAAGGAGTGATGTGAAATTCCAGGATGAGGAGACAATGTGGCATGCTAGAATCAGGAATTGAGCCTGTCGAGGAAGCAGATTTGACTTTGCATAGGATGGATAAAAAGAGTGACAACAGAAGATAGAATCAAGATAAGGAAAGAGATTGTATGATAACACCTAGTTGCCCTTGATGAATTTGAGTTGCCTGGCTTAGGTAAAATATATCCTGAAAGAACTATTAGATATTACTGCACCACCATCAATTATGTTTGAAAAACAGTGGAAAACAATTGCCCTAGCACTAGAGAAGACAAATGTCCCAGTTTTCAAAAGGAATGAAATTGAGCCTACGGAATTTGAAGTGAGTTTGACTTTGATTCCTGTGAAAATTCTAAAATGCATCATTCAAGTGAAGATTGGTGAAGATATAGAAAGGTAAGCAGTAATTAAAAAGAGCATGGTCCACTAAGAAAAGGTCATGCCAGATAGCCATATTTCCTTTTTGACAGGGTTACTAAACTGATCATTGGAATGCAATATAGTTTACCCAGTTCCCTAAAAAGCAAAGCATTTGACAGTATCTT